TAGTACCTGTTCCACTGTAAAGCAGACTTAATGGGTCATAAGTCTTCATTAACATGTTAATCACTAATTTGACTTTACCCGACCAGTCGGGTATAAAACTGTAATTAAGGGGCAGAAGAAACCAGATAGGTTCCACAAAATGAGTATTACTTTAGTGCGAGTTATTCCAACTCGAAACTCGCATACGGTATTCCAATTTGCATTTTCCAACTTCCAACTCGCATATTAACCCTACCACAAAATAGCAGCATAAATGTATATAAACATGCATGTCTGTAGGACAACACAAGTGTTCATGGGACAAGAGTGTATTCCTGGCCCCTAATTGGTCAGTTGTTAGTTTGACACTCAGGATAAGCCCTGTCCACATTTTTAATGGTACAGGTATATATATCCCTTTGCATACCTCCTGACTGCTTTTGGATACATGGATGAGGAAGAATTGTTTAATTGTTCATGGGACAAGAGTGTATTCCTGGCCCCTAATTAGTCAGTTGTTAGTTTGACACTCAGGATAAGCTCTGTCAATATTTTAAATGGTACAGGTATATATATCCCTTTGCATACCTCCTGAATGCTTTTCGATACATGGATGAGGAAGAATTGTTTAATACATACCGCGTCATCTTTTACAGTAATGTCTTTCTCCCCACAAGGTGTTGATTCTGTGTGAGTGCACTTATGTCCTAAAGGACACCAATCACAATCAAAGCTGGTTACACATTCATAACACCTGAAATAAGAGGAAAAATACTTAGTAAGCTAGTACAGATACGTTGATATGAATGTTTTTCCCCTACCTGACAAGCATGGTGAATGCTCAGTACATTCTCAAATATGGCACTTGCGAATAAAATCTCGCAAGTTATTTGGGTGGGAATGAAACCCACAACCTCAAGATAACCTGAGATCAGATTCAACACTAGCCATTAAGCACAAGCTTGGTGGTCTAGTGGTTAAAACACTAAGCTAGTATCTTGAGGTTGTGAGTTTAATTCCCACCAGAGATTTTTTTCGCAAGTATTTGAGAGCTTAATGAGCATTCAGTTCGACGTCGCTTCAGGTAAGGCAAAACATCATTCCTATACTAATCCCCTGACGCAAAATACCATCGGAACACAGTATATGATATGTTATGCACTTTCTTTTAATACGGCTGCACCACCCCAAAAAGGCCAAAAAATTCCGCTGGTGTAGGCCTAAGCCTTGACCTGCCTTGTACTACAATAGAAAATTTGCAGGGCAGCAAGTAGAACTCGAATAGGCCACTGAAGACATATATAAACCTATATAAATATGCCTAGTCATAAAACAACTTATAAAAACTCATTTTTTATCCCAAATGTGAATAAACACTACAGTAATTCAAAATCAATACAGTGTATTCTTCCCTTCCTGTTGTTTACGACAGCCGTTTTTTCTTTTTTCTAGGCGAATTCACCTAAAATGTGTTTCTTTTTATATTACCCACATGGGCAGTTCAATAATTACGAAGTTCCTTAGTGCACATGCTTATGACTGAGAAAAAAATGAATGATTTGCACTATTGGGTGGACTGCATAAAAGTTAAAACATAAAAACATATAAGACAGCATAACATCAATTGAGATAGGTTATATCTTTCTAATTTAAGTCTTTTAAAATAAATAACAATGAAAAATAAACCACTTGAAATTTCAATTATTATGGCAAATAAATATTACAAGTTGCAATATCGTACTGTATTTAGTTTGATTTTCATGTTTGATTTGTAGAATGATTGATTATATAAAGTAAAAGTGGGATGCCCCCACACAAGACAAACAAAAATGTACAGTAAAATATTTACATTCATTTCTTTATTTCGGAAATGTATTTATATAGAATAGCTTTAAAACATACGATTAAAAAAGACAAAATTAAGATCAAAATCAAAATTCATGATTGCCAATAGTAATACGGACATCTTAATTTTCTTCTTAAATTTTGACGAAAAACTTGGTTAATGAGATAAAAAGCGGTTAATGAGATATATTTAAAAACTTAGGGAAAATATGAAAAAAGGCGTAGATCGTTGGCGTTATCAAATTTCATTGATGTTTGCCTTAAACTTTGTCCAAGCAAAAAAAAAATCCTTAAACAGCATTCTTCTGTACAGAACATATAGTACACATTTTTTTAATTACTTTCATAATTCTGTGTAATCTTTTAAATAATACAAATAACACATGCAACAGTAATAATTAGAAAAGAGTAGAAAAGTACAAACATTCTTTTGTTCTTTTGATTGAAAGTTTTAACTCTATTTAATAATTTGTTTTATATAATATAATAACAATGAAACAATGTATAACAAGAAATTAAGTTACAAACGAACAAGTATTACCTTAATTACAATAAATTTAGCTTATTTTTTCAAATCACGATACAAAACTAAGAACTAAATTGTGCCAAAAAAGACATTAAAATACATCACAAAACGCTACAAACACTGGAGCGGCACAGAGGCTTTTTATGGCTCCTCTGTCCCCCAGCGCCTGGCTCGGTAACCACCCTACGCCTCTGAATTAAAACCATTATCGTGTGAACTGAACTTCAATATTTGATGACTCATCTTTTTTTTTCTCAGAAAATCAAGATATTCTTACCACGGCCTGGATATTCCAAAAATTAAAATGCCATTGGCCTGCTTGACACACAAGATATTTCAGGCCAATTGGTATGATAAATTAATCAATTCTTTTTGCGGCTCCTGTTTCTACTACCACAGAAAAATTTCTTTGAAAGAACTAGCAGTTGGGAAAGGTTTTTCTTTGCCAGTGGAAACATATCTTAAGTTTCTTGTAAGATCACCTCCCCACCAATAATAAAATGTTGGCAATAATTGATTAAAACTTTGTCCATACTATGAAATTTTATGTGATAAGTACTGGTGACTTGTCCATATATGGGCATGCTGATGTCATATATGGGCAAATCACATAGTCACATTTGAGCAAGCTTTATGTATACCATAGTATACCACACTATGAACATCATCATTGTCATCATTACTGTATCTGCTTTGAATATGTAAAATTTCCTGTGTTTTTGACTTAATTACATTACGGTACTTTTGAAATTTTGTTATTGTATTTATTGATACCGTAGTTATGGAAAGAAGGTTCTTTTAAATCTCATAGAAAGAATTGTTCTTGTGCTTTTTGGTATTAATTTAATTGTAACTTTCATTTAGTAATTTTTGTTGGTTTTCAACGCACCGTTAGTTGACGAGTGCCACTGTAACATAAGTGTTAAAGTTCAAATAAATCTTAATCATAGGCTGTCATTGAAGCTAGTGTATTAATATTCAATATTATACTGTATTATGATAAATTTAATTCTGCCTGGATTATCACAAATAACAGACAATCAAAACCACAAACCTAGCACCATATCCTTATTACTAAATATGAACTCTTATTGTACTAGACAATGATTTAACAACTTAAGTTTAATGACATCACTGGAGGGCTTTAAATTCTGGTTACTTTGCCAATATATTTGATAACCATGTAATGGCAAAATATTGGAAAGCTATGAGGAATGAAAAAATATATATATCAACACAGGATCAACGTTAGGCTGTCTCTTTCAAAGTCACATTCATCCTACATGTCAGTGGAAAAATTTCATTTCAACTTCCTTGATCAATGTTCAAAATATTTATTATTATCTGTATTGTTTCCATGGTGAAGTTCAAGGAAAGGTGGAACGTGGAAACAGAAGGTGAAGTAATACTAATAGAATGTTTGTATCTCCTTACATGTAAGACTGCCTTGTAGATACTTAACAGAATAAACACTTCCTTGTTTGGTTTGATTTGGTTTATTCAATTTTTAAAATACTGTTGAGGGGGAAAGGGGGAGTGGAAAAATAATTATTTTTTTCTGATTTAGCAAACAGGTTCTAAAAACCCAAATAACAAACAAGTTTCTTTTTCAAGAACTCCTTAGGCAAAGCCTAATTCTAGTGGGTAAATTTTACATTTATTACAACAAAACATTGATGATAATAATTTTATTTTACTTAGTACCTTTGTATATATATTTTTAATGAATGTTTTTATTTTAATTTTTTATATATATTTTATCTACCTTTTGTAATGTCATGGAAAGAGTTTCCCTTAGTGGAATAATAAAGTTAGTTTTCATCCTCTTAACATTTAAATTTTTTTTTTTCTTTTTACGATAAATCAACAGGAATTCTGACGTTTTGTTGAGAAAGTTGATCCTTTTCCCACTCAATGCAGTTACAGTACTCGAGTGGCCTTAAAAGGATATACTGCTTAATATTAAAATTACATTGTTATTCTATTCATATGCAAACTTAATGGGAATTTCCCCTTTTGTTTTTCATCTTTCCTTGGGAGGTATATTCTTTCTTGTTAATAAATCTTCCATTCGCCTCTATAATATCATAAGGGTTATTTCTCACCGGTGGCTTTCAATCTGCATACTCAGACCTTCTTCAGATAATGACATTGGCATGTATATATTTATTATTATATCAGTTAAAATGTGGTCTTGCCTTTTATAGTGTTGTTTTTCGATCTTCACTGTTTTTGTATCAACTCAAAGAAACACATTATATGTATTATGTATGACAATAATAAATGAATCTTGAACCAATGATGTAATGGTGGAAGTTCTGCTGCGAAAAATCGTAGCCTGCACTTGTCCCCATTACATTATCGGTGACGTAGCCAATGGCAGCATGGTAATGTCATTCGGCTGAAAAAGGTCAGAAAATGTGGACTAAACATTGGATTGGATTTATTTGGTGTACGCACCAAGGATAGCCGCATGAAAGTCTAGAAGAAGACTTCTTTCCAGTGGGGTCCTTCTGGTAGTGATTGAGCAGTACACTGGGAGTCGATTCTCTACTCTCTTCCATAGAGTGTACTGCGTTCTTTAACTTGCACATGGGCCATAAATGCACACGGGACCAACGGCTTAAACGTCTCATCCAAGACATTGCGTTCTTGTTACTTGTATTTCAACCCTCCAGCTGCGACACAAGGAAAAGCAGCGATGGCAATAGAAGCGGGGATCTAGAGATCTCCACGGTTCCGCGCCCACACAGTGGCAACCACCAGATTAGCCAACCGAGCTAAGCTGCTCTCATAATGGTGAAAACAATTAGCTAATGGTGAAAAATAATCCTTATTTTCTTGGCTTAACAGGAATCATATGAAATATGTTCTATAATATATGTTGAACTTCAGATAAAGTATTAAAAAACTGTAATAATACTAATAATAATATTTTATTCATTTATATTACGCAAATTCCATTAAAATATATTCAAATGTGTATTATAATAAAATAGACAAGAATAAATTCAGAAAAGCTAAAATTCAATAGCATATAAAAAGTCAATGATATTTCATCACATTACAATGGTTCATTACAGTTTATTATTGAACAAAATAACTTGTAAATTAGGTACTGCAATTATATCAAAACACTATGCAATTTATTTTATTTATTATTTATTTACTTTATAGGTATTCAGTGCACAAATACATTTCTAAGGAACTGGTCAAGGTGAATTTTCTCCATTGGATACAGAATCAATTCATTTAGTTTTAAACAGAATCAAACGATTCAATATTAAGCAACAATTTATTACATCCTTTCAAAACAATATGCAATATTGCAATTATTATTATTATTATTGCAATTTCAATCTTGAAATATATGCTTTATAAATTTTAGGCCTATATTTCTTTTATTTCCTTATATATATACAACGGCAAGTACACTTGCCACTTACAGAATGGAAAGATGCTTTATAAACCAAATCTCTTTATGAGGCTTAGGGAGTGGAGTTGTTTTAAGTTGTGAAAAAATGTAGTGAGAAAAAGTCCTGCTGTGACAGGAGTTGAGCCAGGACCCTGAGATTAGAAGGCAAACATCTTAACCGCTAAGTTACTCAACTCCACGCACGCACACACATATTATTTTTATTATGTTTTAATAATTTATACAAAATATAATTTCAGTAATTTTACTTAGTTTATTACCATTATTCTATAAATTATTACACTTTTATTAGTAGTTTAATTTTATTATTTATTAATAAGAAAATTATACACAAAAACTTCAATTTTGCTTATACACAAAAATCAGAGTTTTTGCTATAGCATTAACAACTTCAAAATTTTAATTTTTAACTGTGGCTACAAACACTATGAAATCAGAATAACGACATGCGTAGAGTAAAACAGGAAAACACTTGGAAATTTGAATTTATAATTGAGGCTAGTAGACTCTATGAAATCAAAATAACTAATACATAGAGTAAACTTATATCCAGAGTAAACTTTTGCTACTTGAGACTATTTCACTATGAACCAGATAGAGACTCATTGAGGAAAAATTAAACACAAACACTTTACTCACGATTTTATAGCACTGCAATTGTAGAAAGTAAAACGTGTGCTTACTATATCAACTCCAGTCAAATTTGAATATACTGATATCAATGAATAATTTGCAACTGAAAAAAAAATATATATTTTTTTTGTATTGTGTTTACGGTGCTACGTACCAAACTTACTTTGAAAATGTATACCGGTACATATGTATTCCCACATTTTACCAAGTATTTATTACTATAATTATACTTAGATTGATTCCACCTACAATACAGATCAACTATTGTATTAACCTGAACATAAAGTATTTTCTTTACCTTCTCCTTCCTGTAAAATTGGTGCCTGTGTAAAGCTGTCACATGCTAAATTAATTTGACCTCCAGTTAATCTGTGTGTTTTAACTGCTGTCCCTCCAAGTTTACATGTATAAATTTGGTTTGATGGGAGTTGAGTTATATCCAAAGAAATTTTCTGTAGAAAAACATATTGTAAAACAAATCAAATTAAAATATTTAAAGTGACAGTGCAAGGTTTTTTACCTCATCTTCACACGTGGCTTTGTTGTGTTACATCAAGCCTGACCTCTGCGAATGTTCCTATGTAGCCATTGGTAAAAATACTACACTTGTGATGGTACATAGGACGGGCATTAAATTCAGAAACAAATTTATGATATAGCATCCCTAGATGCCTGGAAAAGGCACTCTAAAGTTTTTCTTTTAAAGCAGTGTTTCATGACAAATTATTGGCTTCTCTGTTGAAGGTTTCTGAAACCCTTTCTCAGGTGGCAGATCCAGGACTTTTCTTTAAACTGAGCTCAATATATTTTTAAACTCTTAATTTAAGTTGAAATGATAGGGACTGTTTATTGTCCTCTAATCTAAAGTGATAGTTTTTGCATTTTTGGTAAATTACCTAGAGTCCAATATTATCATTTGGAGAATCAGTATTAGCAATTAGGAAAAGGAAATAAGTATATAAAATACAGAAAATAATAAAGAAACAAATATGGCAAACATTTCAACAAAGAACTTAAAGGAATAATACAAATTCATGTGAATTATTACCATTAGTGAAGACACTGTAACTAGTGTATACTTACTTCATTCACCCACTTTGTAATAGGTAGAAATTCAGGGGCTGTGCCACTGATTGAAATACATTTGTTGGATCCACTCACTATCCAAGCATCAGTGAAACATTCACTTAGCCGACTACACCTAAAGATGCGGATATTAAAGATTGTAATTATGAATTGCATCACAATAAATCCATTACTTTCCATCTAAAGGTATGACATGGTAATGATACAGGTCTCCTTCCAATTAAACACCACTTTTGGGACCAGGATTTCCATGGTCTTTCGTAGCTTTTGTCTCTAACAGTATAACAAAGATATAAGATATTTGTAGATTTGGGAACACAGAAAATTTGAAGATGGTCTTTAATTGCAGGGGTCTGAAATTAAAGGGAGACCTGTATTTGTATATCCGATAACTTTTATACAAAATATAAATATAGAGTCCACAAAGTCACATGACAAGTATGAATAGGGAATAGTCTACCAGTGGCATTGTAAAATCATATCTATGACTTTAAATACATGATTCTTTCTATTTAAAAAATGTGTCTGTCTAACCCTGAGCTGATTCATGTTAGCCAAAGGTAGGTGAGGAGGTGATCTTGGGGAGAGGGATGCCACGCAACTTACAAGCACATGTAAAAGGACGGATAAAAGCAGCAGTGGTTGCTGCATCATAAATGTAGAAAGGCCGTACCAAAATATAATAACGATATTGTATCAAACAAATATTGTATTACATGTACTGGGAAATATTATAGACTAAGTTTTCACAATCCTTTTTCTTTTATTTTGGTGTGCGGCCGTTGGTCTGATTTTACCACCATTAACGGTCAGAAATGGAGACAATACATACTTTACTTACAAGCCATAAAATATTTGCTCCTAGGGGACAACCCGTTGTCAGTACAAGATTGTGAATAAGCATGGCCGACCTAGAATATTAGCATGAAGACCAGGCGTGGGCATAAAAATCAGTCAGTGGGCCAAAATAAATTTTTTATTTAACACCAAGGGCTGCACCGAAACTCTGATGTTTTCAGTGAGCTTCCAAAAACCTCCCAGCTTTTTATTCTCAGTTTTAATGTCACTTTTTACATATAATCGGTGTCTGGCTGTATAAAACAAGATGTTTTTTAGCCAATGTTGCTTGGCGTACCGCACGCATAGGGTTTTTAATTCATTTTCGAGGGCAGCAAAAAAAATCGCTTTGCCCACCTGTTGTGTAGATCGAACCCCACCACAAGGCTTGGAAATTGCAGAGCCATTTTGCCAACTGTACTAAAAACAGGCCAAATACACTTTTTTTATAACACATTTTAAAAGAACACTGAGGCTGAAATTGCTTAAAAAATAAAACAAAATAAGAACAAATTTGAGGCTCAGGTAAAATGTCACATGAGGTATTTATTTTTAAAAAGTAGAAAAACCAACAAAGCTTATTTGGACCCTAAATGTTTAGTAGGTGTGACTATGTACTATTATAATACCCTCCATAATGCAGTAGAGCAGTATACTGCTGAACAATAATAATTTTCTCTGTTTGAAAAGTGTGTAAAAATAAGAACGAAATAAGAACATTTTGAGCCTGATATAGAACAAAAATAAGAACACTCACCCTGGGCAAAATTTTACTGCTTCTAATAAAAAAAACTTTAGGAACCAGACTCAATACAACTGGCTGCCGACGGATAGTGCAACCCGATTGTATACAGGCCAACCGTTTTTTGCTTCCTGTGCAATGCCCGCTTTTCAGTAGAAACCAATATTTACTAGGCCTAGGACCTGATTTACAAAATCCCTACATTACACAACTATAAATACAAATATGTTGCACCCATTAAACTAATATTATACAAGATAAACATAACTTATCGTATTACTTATTTAACCACCTTTTAAAATGTATTATATATATATATATATTACCAAATATATAGGAGAGGGGACATAGACTAATATTTACCTGTTTTCTAATGTACACCAACCACAGTAAGGATCTCCGCCTCCGTCATTAAGCCCAACACATTCACTACAGCTGGTGTAGTGGGTGCAACTCTCAACTCGAATTTTTAACAACTAAAAAAAATCATATGAAAATAGACTTAAAAGTATGATAATCTACTGCAACATAAACAGGTACAGTAATTTAAAAACATGACAGTGGAATGCACCAGCCAAAAAAAAAACAAAAAAACACCATTCTGCCATATGCTCAGTAAAGAGTCATTGATTGGTCAAACACTTTTTGACGAGCAGCATTTTTAAATAATGCTCTTGGTTATCTTGATTTTGTAGATGTCAAATAATATGTTTGAGACTAGCATTCTAATTATTTTTTGCATTAATTAGGGTTTTTTAAATACCACTTGTGTAGTGGGTGCAACTCTCAACTCGAATTTTTAACTAAAAAAATCATATGAAAATAGACTTAAAAGTATGACAATCTACTGCAACATAAACAGGTACAGTAATTTAAAAACATGACAATGGAATGCACCAGCCGAAAAAAAGAAAAAAACACCATTCTGTCATATGCTCAGTAAAGAGTCACTGATTGGTCAAACACTTTTTAACAAGCAGCATTTTTAAATAATGTTCTTGGTTACCTTGATTTGTGGATGTCTAATAATATGTTTGAGACTAGCATTCTAATTATTTTTTGCATTAATTAGGGTTTTTTAAATACTAATTAATAATGAGAATAAATATTAACGATTAAAATAACAATAAGACAAGAGTAATAATAATATAAGCTGTAACCCATCTTAAGAACCAAGTGCAGTCCTCCTGGTGAAGATATTAAAGCCCTCCATCACCAGGAGCTGATAATATGATTTTTCATTAGAAGGTGGGAGAGAGGGAGAGGCTAGCAAAAAATATCAGATGATTTGAATTAAAAATACCTCAGCCCCATTACAGTATGAAAGTATGGTCCCCAAATGACACAGGTATGTTTTATAAACTAACCATGTTTTAATTTGAATAACTTAGCCTCTATATTTCAGTCATAAAAAACATGCAAGATGGCAAAATTTTAAGGGGAGGGAAAGAGGGCTAAAGCCTGTTTATTTCTCCTCTAAGTGCCCTGGGCACTGACAAACACTAGTTTGAACATTATTATGGGTTATGCTGAATATAAATCTGCCCATGCCAACATGAACTGAATTTTAAATGGATAATTACTATTTTTTGTTAACTTGATGGAACAATTTTACCTTATTTTCTGTGAGAATTGTGAGATTAGTTGATGTAGCATCAAGGAGTGATAAAGCTCTCACAGGAAAACCTTCGTCAAGTGCTAGTGTCTCGTACTCACGGGCTGCGCTCCCATTATGAATGTGTACCTAACGAACATCATATAATTTAACATTTCATATAGTAAAATGTGCTGTCAAATGGACAACTAACCAATATTTAAAAAAATGTGTTCTACTTATTTAATATATTTAATGTATTTAAATGTAATCATATTGATATAGGGCGTCCTTGTAGCTCTTCCTAAAATGTCAGCTGGTATTCAGGTGTCTCATTAGTATAATGAAGCATTATGACGCTCTATCTTATTTCAAAGCTTAGAGTGTGGAGTTTTTAGTCATAAAAAAAACCCTACATGGTGTCAAAGGAGTTGAGTCAATGACACTACGTGCAAGAAAGTAAAGCAAGCATTTTAAACAGGACCACCAAGATCCACATAAGACTTAGGATGATACCACAAACTACTTTATTTTATTTATGTAACATAAAAGTAGTGCAGTATGTACCCTATCAGGAAGTACTGGTAGTTCCTCTGGTATAACCCCACCCTATCTTGAACAAAAAATTTAGCCCAATGAGAACAAAATTGTTCCCATTAATCAACAGACAGTTAAATAATACCTGCTTGTACTCTTTTGCATAGACCCTTAAAACTGGTAGGTAATCAATTTAAGAACATTTGTAGTAAAAATTAACGTCTGCAAATCAAAAAATGTTATTAACAACAACATACTTTTCAAAAGCAATTCAAAATTTAGCAGAATACACAGTGACAAGTATTTTTCTTTTCTTAACAATGGAATAACTTGTACCTTAATGAGTTTTCCGTGGTATGTACCTAGAAACGCTATGGTGTTATTCTCCTCTACTGCCACCGAAATTGAAGTCATATAATTGGCGTATTGCAAAACCGGTTGTGAATACGCAGACTCAGCCAAGGTACCTTGCGAGTACTTGACCCTCAAATTACTCCCTTCACACATGTATATCTTTAAAAGTTCTTCCCTCACATTCTGTTTAAATAATAACAATAACAATAATAATAATAATACATTATTATTATTTTATTTAGCCATCATTTGAAAAATATATCATAGGCGCAATGTCTATTCGATGGCTGTGTCTTCTTATCATATTTTACATACTATACTTTACCTATTATAAGACCCATAAATTAGATTTATATAGCACCTTACACCAATAATAGCTCCTACAAAGTTACTGGTTAAATTAAGTGTTATATTTACAGGCCCGTAGGCAGGATTTTCAAAGGGGAGGAGCGTTTTGCAACTGAAGTGGACCCTACGATGGGCTACTGCCTAGGGATCCCCGCGAGGGTGGGGCGAATCTTCTGGAACCTCTGACAAAATATTTGCATTTTGAGGGCCTTTTTTAATGGATTTCTAAAATCCATAATTTGTAATATCCTATTTAAATTTTCATTCATTTGAGTATTGTCTAGGGACCTACAGTAAAACAGGAGAAAGAGGGTTTGGTGAAGGGAGAAACTTGCACAGACAGATGGTCAATACCACCTCAGCCCCACCATGGTTGGGGCTGAGGTAAGAAAAATTTATGGTTATGGCATGGAAAATGGCCAGAAATGGCACTCTCAGACAAACTTTAATTATGATTTTTCTTTTTTCTCCATTTCTTTTATAATTTTAGGGGGCTCTCCCCCTCCCCCTTGAATCCACCACTGTGAAATTGTAATTTTTTATGTTCTTTACATCTGTAGGCCTACAGATGACATAGATCAATCTGCAATCACTGGAGCTGATAGTTTCCGACAGATTTCGTAGCATATTATTAAAAATCAACGAGTAGAAAAGCGGGCAAAAAATGTAATGCATACTATAGCATTTCGCGATAATTAGGAACGATTTTAGGGAAATAATAGGTTTTAAAAAGTGGACTTTTTGAAATTTGGTGGTCCAGGGGCACAGGCCTGGAGGGGGTTTGTGAGAAAAGCGACAAAATAGCATTTTGAGGGTCTTGCATAATAGATTTCTCAAACACATAATTCATGAATATTTCATTTAAATTTTCATTAATTTGGGTGTTTTTGGGACCTGGAAAAGTAACATTATTATGTCCTGTACATCTGCAGGCCTATAGATAACATCCTTCATATTATATAGATCAATCTGCAATCACCGGAGACGATCAATTTCTAACAAATTTCATACCACATTATTAAAAATCAACAGTTAGATAAGCTGGCAAATATATAAACAATGCATGCTACAGCATTTTATGATAATTAAGAACGATTTTGTGAAATCATAGGTTTTAAAAAGTGAACTTTTTGGAATTTGGTGGGGGGTTGGTGTTTTTTCTCATAGTAACTTTTAGCAGTCCTTTTAAATAAAATTAGCACTACAGAAATCATTAAATATTATTGATTACTGCACAACTATATATTTTATCATTACTTACAGTACAATACATTTATATAGTCATATTTAATATAGTACTATTTATTATTAATGTTTTAGTATTACCCCTTTAGGTACTGCAATACTACAATTTAATGTAAAATGATTTCATATTTTTTAATCACAGTATTCTTCTTAATTCCTGCTGGCAACTTATTGTCTGTTATCATTTATTTATATAGTAAAATACAACATTCCAATCAAGTGTATATCAAAATTTGCAAAAAAAACCCCATCTATACATTAATTTTTATGTAGATCCCTACATCATTCTTTTCAGACAAGTAAAAAATTTAGTAGCAATTGTATCAAAAGAATTTACATTAAAAATATATTAAAGCTTGTGCCAGTGACAAATAACATTTTTCTAAACAGGTATTATACAAATACTACAATTTATATTTATTGTGAAGAACAGTAATTTGTAATACTTACGTTTTCAGAGCATTCAGCACCGTCTACATAACCTAGTACATATGGACTTCCACTGGTGTAGCATCCATTAATAGCCTTAAAGAATGCTTCCTCAATCTCGTTTAAGGTGAACATACAGAGAGCAGAATTACTAAGGTCTTCAGTGGTAAATACACCAAAGAAAACCTTCTGTGGGACTGTCAAGTTTAGAGCACTTGCCAATGTAGATCCAATCAACTCCACTTTCATAGCCTGGACTATCTCGTAATCAAAGTTTGAATCAACACATCGAAGAAAAATTTCTGAAAAAGCAGATAATTCACCTGTTTCACAGATACGACTTATCCGTGCCTGGTTTTCGCGGTTTGAAACAAAATAGTTGAATTCTTTGTGATAGAATCCAGTTACATACTGAATTGAGTCCCTTTCATTATAAGCTGCTTGTATTTTAATATCGTCAATAAACGCAAAGGGATTGCTTGGATCCAATCTTCTAGTTGCCAACATTCGAGACTTAGCACTTTCAGAATCAATGGATGCAATCCATAATGTAGGTTCATTTATAATTTTTTCCTTTTTATTAATTAAGGATATAAAACCAACAGCAGAAAGATTCCCCATCCCAACAATGTTTTCCACAGCAGTGCCATCATACATCTCCAAAGTACTCAAAGAGCGAGCTTCGCATCCTCCATGGTTACCGCCTCCACAACTTATCAAACTATTGTTATTGTAATCAATGACCAGGACTTTATTAATATTATTACAATCATCTCCATTTGCACATGTACTAACTTTACTCACATAATTAAAATCATCAGAAAGCAAAATAAGAGAATTTTCAGCACCGATGTAAATATTTCCAGTGTTGTTATCTCGAGTGAACCGATGGAACCCTGTGCCTTCGTATCTGTACAGCTGATAGTCCGACATGTCTAGACTAGTTGAATAAATTCTTGAGACCATACATATCAGTAGTAGAAGCTGCCTGGTGAACATCATGGAAATATGATGAAAGACTTTGGACACAGCAAAATATACCTGTAATAATAACAGATTTTAATTTATTTATTATTTAATAATTAATACTTCTGAATTTGAATGTTCTTATCTATATTTTTCTTACAATAACTTTTTAAAATATATGTGTATTTTTTTAAATTTGCCCTTTTGTATTATCCAAATAAAGTATTTTCATTTGTAATAAAATAAAATTGGATTGAATTTATTTATTTATTTAATTTCTTTATTCTTTATACTGGGAAAACCTGTTCAGTAGCATATCTACTGTTCTCCCACAGGGCCCAGTACAAAAAGTTGATAATAACATTCACAATTCATAAGAACGAGCAACATGGATAAACCAGAAAAAGTACATTAACATCCAGATCATAACATTTTTTAAATTGTTAAAATAATATAAGATCAATACGAACATTTATAAATATAATTAGAGAAATACAGCAGCAAAAATTACTAGTTATTATAATTATTATTATTACTTTTTTTTTCAGTGATGTGATGACATATGTAGGCCTAATGTTATTTTCTGTTGTGTTCTCTATCAAAAAGGTCACTGATGTTGGTTCTGGAATGGCAAGCCTCATATGTTGTTATTTATTCTGCTACTATTTTAAGAAAATAAATGCATTACTTCAAATTGATTTGAGTTGAATCATACTATTATATGCTTCCTCTTACAATATCTTAGACAGCATAGTACTAGTATGGATGCAAGTGTGTAACAATTCCAATGGCATTAAAAATACAACTAAAGGTACATGATGATAATTATAAAAATAATAATTCATTTTAATGTATGTTCAATATTTCTCTTTATGAACATAATCCAAATTCACGAATTACTGTAAAGTACCAATTAATGAATAAGGAAATAAAAAATACTGTAGATTATAAATTACAATTAACTAAACCAAACTAATAATAAATATAAATTAGTCAATTACAAATTTGAAACTTCACCTTTTAATTTTATTGCTTTTCTGACATAGAGGTAAACTTGTACAGTTTACCCTCTACTTGGAGACCCCTCTAATGCCGAGACCAATTTTTCAAAGTACCAACTGATCACATCTATTAACACTAAGCTCACCCTCTAATTCTGAGACCATTCTAATTTGAGACTGTGACCACTGTTTTAATGCTGGACTATTGGAAACAATTTTATAAATGTTGTACAACTGATTTTTCAGACACTAAAAGGGTGTTGGACAAAAAACTTGAAAAGTTAATGAGATATAGATTTTAGAATATTAAAAACTGGGTAAAACCACATTTTCTTCATAGATGAGCTACATTGGAACCTGCTATTTAAGCTATTGAATTTTAAGCCTAATGATTTGTACAAGATACAAGATATACATTTGGTTCCAGTGGATAAAACACTTAATTATATTAATGATTTAGTCATTTAGAAACCAAACACAGAATAATATTCAAAGAAAATTAATATTAAAATCTTTTAATATAAATGACATGTTTAAATTTGGTTCCAGTTGCTACAAAATTAACTACAGTACATTATGATTCAGTCATGTAGTAACCTAACACAGAATCAAATTCAAAGGAAATTAATATTAAGTTCTTCTAAAAGAAATTTGGAGACCACAATACAGTTTTGGTCTTTGTTTTTAGGGGTTTTTGAATATGATCACTCTCTAATTATGCTACTTTTGGAGACCACTGTTTAGACATTTTCTCCATTTAGACAATCTATTCAGCCTAATTTTTGAACAGGGGATATATTTCCCGCCCCAGCCTTGTTTTACAGTCTGGAATGTGTCTACATTATTGGATGTCTCTTCATTATGCGCTATGTAAATATTAATAATGGTCCTGGGTGGAGTGATTATATAGTGTCAAATCTAAACTTCAAATGCATATAGTATAATTATAACAAAACATACTAGGTGGCCTAACACCTTTACTTATTTTAAAGTACTTGAAAATCTGGGATCTGCCATGGTCACCAGAAAGTAGAGCCTGATGGTACTTCCCAATACATTTGTTAACAATAACAAAAATGTAAGGCGTACACTACATCTAAATCTTAAAGCTAGGCTCCAGAGGGGAAAAAAAGTGATATGTTGTAACTGCTTCTTTTATGACACGAAAAAGATGGTTGACAAAATACTTGGAAAACAGTTAACAAAATATGGATTTTTTAATATTTAAAAACTGGGGCAGGGGAAAGGGGAAGGGGGGTGATGATGCTCACAGAAATTCATCCGTTTTTCAGCCCACAATTTCTCCCACAATTTTTAAATATTTTGCAAAAATTCATTCAACCAATTCAGGAATTCCCCAGGTGCGTTGCTTTGCCGTTGACTCGATCGTGTGTGTTGTTCAATAATGGCTTTTAAAGAGTAGAAAACTCCTTTGTACAAAAAAATGTTTGGTCAAGTTAATGTAATTCAAAATGACTAAATACTTACACATTTGGGGGATTTGATTTGCGTAGTACACCATGGATTCATGGCAACATGACAACAAAATAGCCTCAGCAATCAGTGCCGTGGTGAGCTTGGGCTGACGCTAATTTCAAGTTCTGGAAGTTTAACCCAACCCCAACGTCCATTTAACCAGCAACGATAAATTAATGTCACCGATTACGCAAGGATGACTGCGCATGCGTAATCTATTTCACGTAAATATATCGTACCTAGTATCCAGATCGGGAGCTGTTAGCGCTAACCGTTAGCACCTGCGTGAAAATGCCCGATCGCTTAGCGCTAACCGTTAGCGGTATCCAGATACCGCTAACGGTTAGCAAGCGCTATCGGTTAGCAAGTTGAGGGCGTTTCTATCATCAACCAATCACACGTACGCGTTTACAATTTCCAGTTTCTTATTGGCCAGTGATTCGATCATCGTATTGTTGGTATCCGGATCGGGATTTTCTCGCATGGACGCACGGCAGCTAACCTAACCGTTAGCTGCCGTGTGAGAACATAGCCTTTACCGTAAATATATGATTTCCACTTTCTTTCATCAAACACCCTTTTTGTCTTAAAAAAATCAGTTGTAAACAACATAATATCAAACATTTTCTCTCAGTCCAGAGTCTGGCTTAACATTCATAGTAAGCCTATCGTACAAGCTAACCCTTTAGTCGGGTAAGCCTGGTCTTATTGCGGTTTTTGTTATTATTTTGCACATAATAAGTTACCTAGCGCCAATAGCGTAGGCTGTACTAGGCCTATATCACGTTATTGCACGATCTACCACTACACAAGCACAAGAACACTAAGAGGACGGTCACACGTCAATACCTACCGGACGTCTACCTGCTTCAGGCTAACTTCAGCCAGTCCAGTAGCGGTGTCCAGGAGGGAGTATACGAATAATGTACAAAAAATAGCACAACTTCTCTTAAAACATTGATACATAAAAAAATACTACGTCTTTTCTGCATGTGTGTATGTACTTCACATGTGTATTTACAACTGAACTTCGATTTTTTTAAGTTCCACTGTATACGGCAACTGACTTCTCTCTGCGAGAAGTTAGAACAACTTAACTTAAAATAGATGGCGCTCTTTTGATTTACTTAAACCACTGGCTTCCAAGGCACACAGTAAATTGTTTGTAAATCATGGAGAAAATATATTTGTGTATTTAGTGTATGTGTTTGTTAGCAACCTCCTGCCTACAGTTTTAAGTTTACATAAGTCAGATTATTTCTGATATTGGATAAAGATTCCGTTTTACCTTGGTTACAATCCGAACATTGGCGGCGCTAGCGGGGGATCCAGAGAGAAAAGCCCCCCGGTCGGGAACTCTTGACCCTCCCACTTTGAACACCCACTTTGACCCCCCTGTCGGGAAATTTCCATCAAGGCCGTCGGAGGAGAAAATTTCGAGCGCCGAATATACCATTCAAGCATGTCTTCATAAGCTGTCAACGTTTTAGGGATTAAAAACTGTTTAATTCAGTGAAAGCAGTGCTACCATATGTGCGATTACTATCATACGGGTTGCAGTGGTGCATCAGCTTTTCCCCAACAGGGGGTTAGTACCCCCACAGCTGGACTAGTACCCCCGATATCGTTTTTAAATACAGAATCCCATAATTAATACAAAATTTTATTATCTTTTGATTTAAAAAAAAAATTCCTCGACAAATTTAATTACTCCCCGACAAATTAATTTTTCCCCGACCGGTGAGAGGGGGAGGTTGTGGGGGGGGGGACGCTAGGCTTCCCCGGCCGGGGGCCTGGACCCCTTGTAGTGGAGCTTGGACCCCTCGTCGGGGAATTCCTGGCGCCGTCCCTGAAGCCGAAATCGGGTGTGGATGTGGGGACCCCACACTAGATATCAAAAATTATCAACTGATCTCAAGCTTTCTGGAAGAGTTAGGCCTAACCAAGAAAGAAATTATATAGTTGGCGACGATCCAGATTTGGGTGTGGATTATTTTGTGGTCACTGAAAATACTAAAACTGAAGACCTAAATACAGTCCGCCCGCCAATTTGAGACCACTCTGTGTATCTGAAATTTGGGGCGGTCTCGGTGTTCGGTCTTAATTTTAAAAACTTTATAAATAGAGACCATTGGCTTGAAGTGGTCTCCAAGCAGCATAACTGGAGGGTAACCTAACATGAAACCTCTAAAAGACCGAAAATAAAAGTGGTCTCCAAAAGACAACATGAGAAAACCATTTATTTATTTAAAAGAAACTGCTATTTGCTTTTAAATTTTTGTTTTTACCAACTTAAAACTGTTTAAAACACATAAAAAAATTTAAAAAAAACTCTGAACAGCATACTGCAAAGTAAACTTAACATTTATAGGCCTACTTTAGGTTTAGGTAGGTGTGTAAGTGTCCATCTTTTACATAAAGAAATTTTCTCTTGTGTTACTTGGCCATCACTTATTTTTCCAATCTTCAATATGCAATTCTCCAATGAGTTTGAAATTTCCTCATGGCCACAATGAAGTGGGCTAGACTCGTTGATAAGGGGGAGGGGAGAGTACCGGAAGTGCCACGCCCACCTCAGTATGCCATTGTTGGAGCTAAATTTGAATGGCCCTGCCCCCTTCTTTTGTTAGGCCTACTATAAACATAATTTTTGCTTTTAGTTTTAATTATTTACATATCTTTGATTTTAGCGAGGTGGGGTAAAACATTTATCAGGGGAATTATCCCCTGTCCCCTTGGCATTTTCAAATGTGGTCTTGAATTGGAGGTCATTTTGTCACTTGGTACTTCCATAAAGGTGGTCTCGGTCTCATATTAGAGGGGTTTTCATATTTAGAGGGTGAGCTCAGTGTAAAAAGATAGGTAGCCAGTTGGTAATTAGAAAAAGTGGTCTCGACTTAGAGGGGTCTCAGAATTAGAAAGGTCTCGAATTGGAGGGCGTATCTCAAAATCTGAATGTTTTGGTGATGGTCCAAAGTAATTTTAGTGACGATTCGGAGTAGGGTATGGATATGAGGACCATTTAAAGGGAACTTTGCCAAATTTAAATACCTAAAGAAAATGTTTAAAGCATCTGAAAACCTTTCTGGAATGGTTAGGAATAAAGTATGCAAGTTAGTTGGAACGTCCCATGCCTAAATATCATAAAAACTGATCAACGGATCTGAATGAAGCTTTTAGAATGAAATTGTCATGGTCCAAGAAACAATGATTGAAGGCTCTTTGGCTAATGGATAGCACATACAGGCGCGTCGGAAGCAATTTTTATTGGTCCGGCCAAATGCGACGATCCGCACCCCACCCTTCACCTTGCCCATGGCAGAGGGAGTGGGGTTGGTGATCCCAATGGAAAACCCTTTTTTAATAAACTATGTCCTTACATGGCATCGTATTCAATTGCCGGTATTACGCAGGAAAAATTAACGTTTACAGAGAAGATTTTACCGACCTATAGCAAAGCCGTAGCCACGAGAATTGAAGTGGTCAGGTTGCGAGCGAAGCGCGAGCACTGATGATTGCGCGTTACGGGACCGCCAAGGGCTCCAGGTAGGGGTTCAGGGTTCCGGGGCCATTAAACCATTAAACTGTAATATTATTAACATTAAGCCATTAAACTGTAATATTATTAACTAAGACCAATCAACACATAACATAAAACATGTACAAAATCAAAATGATCATGTTTAATCTTTCCTCGTCCGTGCTTGAATAAAACGTGATTTGGATCTAACGTGTGTAAAATGATACTGATAAACAATCGAAATTCTCTGTACAATATTATGCTAAACATTTACAGAGTGGACTTCCTTATGCTGTGGTCATATTAGACTGTAGTACTATTATTAAAGAAGTCCATTCAACAAACAACATAAAACATATGTTTTATGTTGTTTGTTGAATGGACTTCTTTAATAATAATATTACAGTCTAATATGACCACAACATAAGGAAGTCCAATTATACATATCAAAGTTATTAGGTTAAAAGCAAAGTAGGGAAAAACTATGAATTCAGAGTGTATTCAATAAGAATATGCACGAAGTGTATTTCAAAGCATCTAGAAAACAAAAACTTTTCAAGAAGCCGAATACTCCCCCCAACCCATATCTAAAATGTGCCTTCCAGCGACAAAACAAGCTAGCTCTCTTCTCATGACCCCTCCCACCATGGACCTATCTTATTAATAGGTCCATGCTCCAACCATGGGAACCCATATGTGCGATGGCCAGGGTAAACTCTGGATCCGCGCTTGACATATAATTAAGAGTGTTAAAAAAGGTATATTTACAGTAGATTTATTTATAGAAAATAATGTTGCATAAGAACTATCAGAAATAAATATACAGATAAAGGCATGTTTTTTGTCTTGGCTTGGTAATTTTGTGAATAAGTGAATATATGTCCTAGGCAAGTGTATGGAACCTTTATTCTGATTTTCTGCAAAAGCTCACTATGTGTAATAATTGACCTACTTGATTTACATAAAAGGTAAGCCCACTACACACTAAATTTCAACTGAAGAAAAATGCACCCTAGTTTCTTAATCAGTCATTATAAATTTTACACTAAAGAGAAGAAAACAATGTAAACTATCATTAACGGTTCCTGAGTTATGTCAAAGAGAGAGTAGGTTGAGTCTAAACATACAGGTGGAATAGCCCTTTTTTCCTATTCAAAACCTAATTAACTTGTGGTCTGTCAAAAAGTGGTCAGGTTGAAACCATCGTACCCTGATAGGTAAAGGGCCCAGACAAACTTTTAGGGTTTTAACAAATCACGCAGAAAAATAGATTATTTCAAGGTTTCTTTATTGAAGTTTTGCTCTCCGGAGACATTCACATCACTGACAAATGAAATTAAAACGGATCATTGTTAGTGTGACAGGTTATATTATGGCCTGTAATTATATATACCAGGGGTGACGCCAGCGATGGGGGAGGGGGACCGGGGCTGGACCAGTGCCCCCCGTCGGGGAAAAAAGCACAATTCGTCGGGAAGAAAAAAATATATATGTATTTTCTACATACTAGTAGACTCTAAAATCGATCGACCACTTTAATCGAAGCTCGACCACGCCCACTTTGC